CACAGAACCCAAGTGAAATAACACACAAATCCTCTCCTGGGATGTCTTGTTTTGTTCCAGGGACATAAACCCAAATCCTCTGAGCAAAGCAGGAGTTGCACACAGGGATAACCCAAGTGAAATAACACACAAATCCACTTTGGGGATGTTTTGGTTTGTTCCAGGCAGTTGTAGGGACATAATCTCAAATCATCTAAGCAAAGCAGGAGTTGAAAACAGAGAGAACCCAACTGAAACAATACACAAATCCATTCCTGGGATGGTTTGTTTTGTTCCAGAGACACAAACCCGAATCATCTGAGCAAAGCAGGAGTTGCACACAGGGATAACCCAAGTGAAATAACACACGAATCCACTTTGGGGATGTTTTGGTTTGTTCCAGGCAGTTGTAGGGACACAAACTCAAGTCACCTGAGCAAAGCAGGAGTTGCACACACACAGAACCCAAGTGAAATAACACACAAATCCACTTTTGGGATGTCTTGTTTTGTTGCAGGGACATAAAACCAAATCATCTGAGCAAAGCAGGAGTTGCACACACACAGAACCCAAGTGAAATAACACACAAATCCAACTTTAGGATGTTTTGGTTTGTTCCAGGGACACAAACCCAAGTCACCTGAGCAAAGCAGGAGTTGCACACACAGAGAACCCAAGTGAAATAACACAAATCCAACTTTAGGATGTTTTGGTGTGTTCCAGGGACACAAACCCAAACCACCTGAGCAAAGCAGGAGCTGCACCCAGGGACAACCCAAGTGAAATAACCCCCAGCTGCTCTCCTGGGCTGTTTTGCTTCGTATCTCCAGACACCCAAAGCCTCCCCTACGCCCATTTCTTCCTCGAGGCACCGCCAGCCCGTTTCTCAGGGAAAAGGAATCGGGATGAATAGTCCCATAAAGAATCCCAGCAGAGCTTGTCCTGCCCGGAGCCGCCACCACGCCAAGGTCCAACTCTCAATTAACCCCCGGCCGACCTTCCTTCACTTTCTTTCCCCCTCCTCTGCCCTTCCTGAGAAAGTTCAGCGTTTCCTGGAAAAGTCTCCCTGCCTGTTTGATATTGTACTTCGCCTTGGTTGCTGAAGGAAGGATTTACAGGTGCCTGGCCCCCTCTGGAAGACCATGACCGGAGGGTGACCTCCCGGTACAATATGTGAACTCCTGCCCTGCTGATAAGGCTGCCAGATATGAGTAGGATTTTTCAAATAATCCTTTGGGAATTTATAAGCAGCGCGGCCATAAAACCGAGGTGACTGGAAGGTCGATTTCACTAAAAATAATAAATATCCCGATGTTTATTCAACGTTGGGCCTTTTTAACTGCGGGCCGAGCGCCGAGATAACGCCATTGTAAATGACAAATATTGGGATTTTTTGGTAACTATTACATTATGATCCTTCCGTCTGACACTGATGTGGCCGTTTCCCTTCGATGCTTGCAGGATCCCTGACATTGTTCAGCCCAAGTTGGGCCTGGAAAGCCGGGGCAGGATTCGATCACGGGTCAGGAAAAGGGCAGTTTTCTTCTCGGGAGCCTCGGGAACCTTTTTCTGGTGCTCCCGTCTCACTAACACGGCTTCTGCCCGGGGGTTTTTGGCCTTATCGGGGGTTTTGGTGGAAACAGAGAAGGAGGAATGGGAGGACTGAGTGATCTCAGCTCAGGATGGGGACAGAGGACACTGACCTGCTGGCATGGAACCCCTGCTCCAGGTTTAACCTCCCCATGGAACCGTTTCTGGTGGAAAAGACCTCAGAGACTGAGTCCAACTCCAGCACTGCCAAGGCCACCCCTGACCCATGTCCCCAAGTGCCACATCCACAGGGATTTTAAACCCCTCCAGAGATGGAGATCCACCACTGCCCTGGGCAGCTGTGCCAGGGCTGGACAACCCTTTCCATGGAAAAAATTTTCCCAGTATCCAACCTAAACCTCCCCTGGCACAACTTGAGGCCGTCTCCTCTCATCCCATCCCTCGTTTTTTGGGAGAAGTGACTGGTCCCACCAGGCCCCACCCTCCTGCCAGGGAGCTGTGGAGAGACCATCACCAAGACTCCTGCACTATTCCCACCTCCAGCAGAAGACAATCCCACCCAGATCCATCCCACGGATCCGACCATGAAACCTGCCTTGGAACAGCAGCATTTCCATGATATATTCTGGGGGATCGACTGATATTTCAGATTAAAAAGCAAAGCAACAAGACAACAAAAAAAAACCCCTCAAATGTAGAAACAAAACCCATTTGAAATGTGCCAAACTGCTCCAGCCACCACCAGAATCCCTCCATCCTCCTCCTCATCCCACCTTCAGGTCCAAACGCACCATTAAATCCGCGCCGAGGCCCGTGAGCTGCTCCAATATTATCCCCAATATCCTGTTTTCATCATCCATATTTTCCCCTGAAGTTTTCCCAAATAAAGTGACACTTGGAAAGCCACGAAACCCCTCGGAGCAGTTTGTAATCTCCAATTAGCAAACGAACTGAGGAGGAGGGTTTTGTCCAACCTAAACACGGCGACGCATTTTCGGGGAGGGCAATTCCTTCATCCCGATAAAATATCCCGGCAAAGGAGCCAAATGGCATAATTATTAACAGCTGAGGGCACAGAAAGAGGTCTTATATAACTGGGGTTTTAGGACAATTCTTCTCCTTCAGCAAAATTCCTGCTGGAGAAACTTTGGAAGGGCCTTAAAAACAATTCCCTCTCGAGCCTGGCTTGGAAGGGAGGAAAGTTGGGAACGGAGCATTCCTTTCATGTGCTGCCTGGGCTCTGGAATGTCCAACCACAGGAGAAGAGCCCTCCAACAGCTCCCAAGCTCCTTAAAAAAATGGATGCAGACCCCACAGGTTGGTTGGGTTGGTGGATGCAAAGCTTGGGAGCCGCCGGAGGCACCTCGGGAATTACAAGACGGAGGGTGAGCTCCGAAGGGAGCTTTTATTATTAATTAAATAATTTAATTTAATATTCATATAAAATTAAAATAACTTAATTTCACAATAAAAAATAAAACAATTTAATTTGATATTAATTTATCAGGAGCTTATCTGAGCTCCTGATAAGTTAATAATGAACAAATTAATGCCTTACGTGCTCGTAACGCCCAGGAGAAAGAGCAGCACAAACACAGGAGATCTCCTAAAAGTTCTCCAGGACTGACACAGCTCAGGGGGACAATTTGCAGCCAAAAAATGAGCCCTGACATGGAATAGTTCCGGTTGGATCTCGTTTTTCCATCAGGGATGCGGGAGTGCTCCAGTCAAAGGTGGATTTGGTGGGATTCGGCAGCAAATCTGCTCCCGGCAAACGGTGTTTGAAGGGCAGAAAAAGTTCTTGTAGAGCAGCAAATAGTTCATTTCAAACCAATTCCTGCCCCAAAACTCCTCCATTTGCACGGAATAATCAATGTACTGTGGTCAAAGATGAATTTTTGGAGGAAAAATATGTCAAAAATCACAATATCAAACAAACTCCTCCCCAAAACTCCTCTATTTCACTGAAAAATTAAGATACTGTGGACAAAGGAGAACTCTTGGAGGAAAAATATGTCAAAAAATCATAAAATCAAAACAATTCCTGCCCAGAACTCCTCTATTTCCAACAAATTAAGAATATACTGTGGTTAAAGAAGAACTCTTGGAGGAAAAATATGTCAAAAACCATAAAATCAAACTAATTTCTCCCCAAAACTCCTCCACTTGCACGGAATAATGAAGATACTGTGGACAAAGGAGAATTTTTGGAGGAAAACTGTATCATGGAATCATAAAATCATAAAATCCAACCAATTCCTGCCCAAAACTCCTCCATTTGCACTGAATAATCAATATACTGTGGCCAAAGATGAATTCTTGGAGGAATAATAAGTCAAAAAATCATAAAATCCAACCAATTCCTCCCCAGAACTCCTCTATTTGCACGGAATAATGAAGATACAGTGGACAAAGGAGAATTTTTGCAGGAAAACTGTATCATGGAATCACAGAATCACACCCCAAAACTCCTCCATTTGCACTGAATAATGAAGATACTGTGGCTAAAGAAGAACTCTTGGCAGAAAAATATGTCAAAAATCATAAAACCAAACAAATTCCTCCCCAAAACTCCTCTATTTCATGGAAAAATGAAGATACAGCGGACAAAGGGGAATTCTTGGAGGAAAACTGTGTCAAAGAATCACAAAACCACAAAATCACACCAATTCCTCCTCAAAACTCCTCAATTTGCACTGAATAATGAAGATTCTGTGGCCAAAGATGAATTCTTGGAGGAAAAATATGTCAAAAAATCATAAAATCCAACAAATTCCTCCCCAGAACTCCTCTATTTGCACGGAATAATGAAGATACAGTGGGCAAAGATGAATTCTTGGAGAGAAAATAAGTCAAAAATCATAAAATCCAACCAATTCCTGCCCAAAACTCTTCCATCTGCACGGAATAATGAAGATTCTGTGGACAAAGGAGAACTCTTGGAGGAAAAATATGTCAAAAAATCATAAAATCCAAGCAATTCCTCCCCAGAACTCCTCTATTTGCACGGAATAATGAAGATACAGTGGACAAAGGTGAATTCTTGGAGGAAAAATAAATTAAAAAATCATAAAATCCAAGCAATTCCTGCCCAAAACTCTTCTGTTCTCACTAAATAAAGAAGATACCATGGGCAAAGGTGAAAATCTTGGTGGAAACTAAGAAATATATACATTAAAAATTCAGGATTTGTGATAATTGGAGGAAACATCCCTTTATATTTCTGAGCTCTGCGTGAACTCGGAGGGTTTTACCCAAATCCATCCATCCCCTGGGCTATTTTCTACTTCAGGGAAGGCACTTTTGAGGCAGAAATTATAAATAAATATAAATAAATATAAATATAACTATAACTATAAATATAACTATAAATATATAAATAAATATAAAAATAAATATATAAATAAATATATAAATAAATATAAATATATATAAATAAATATAAATAAATCACCCCATGGGTCACTCACCAGGACAGAATAGATGTGCAGGCAGCGATAAACTGGGGAGAAATCCACCAAATCCTGGGCTCCAGGCACCTGGAAAACGGCAGGAGACGGGTGTGAAATATGTGGAATATGTGGAATAAGTACAGGAAAGTGGTACCTTCCCCCCAGAAAAATCACATCTAAAGTGTAACTGCAAAAAAAAATTCTATATAGGTAAAAGTGCAAGGCTGAAAAATAATCAATTAGGAATAAATGACACTTGGGGAAAAAAATCACACCCAGGTAAGTGCAGCTCTTCAAAAAAATAATATATAAATGTCATTCTAAAAATAAAAAATCACATTTAGGTTAGTGCAAGTCTAAAAAATATTTTAAAAAAATCAGATTTAGGTAAGTGCAAGTCTAAAAAAATATTTAAAAAAAATCACATTTAGGTAAGTGCAAGTCTAAAAAAATATTAAAGAAAATAATCACATTTAGGTAAGTGCAAGTCTAAAAAAATATTTAAAAAAAATCAGATTTAGGTTAGTGCAAATCTAAAAAAAATATTTTAAAAAAATCACATTTAGGTAAGTGCAAGTCTAAAAAAATATTTTTAAAAAATCACATTTAGGTAAGTGCAAATCTAAAAAAAATATTTTTAAAAAATCAGATTTAGGTAAGTGCAAGTCTAAAAAAATATTAAAGAAAATCACATTTAGGTAAGTTCAAGTCTAAAAAAATATTTTAAAAAAATCACATTTAGGTAAGTGCAAGTCTAAAAAAATATTAAAGAAAATCACATTTAGGTAAGTTCAAGTCTAAAAAAATATTTAAAAAAAATCACATTTAGGTAAGTGCAAGTCTAAAAAAAAAATTATAGAATATGTATTATTATATAATATATAAATGTCACTCCAAAATATCAAATATAGGTGAGAGTAACTCCAACACAAGCAGGTTCAACAGAGGGATTTCAGGTATAATAACCAAGTTGCTAATATATGATTGTTATATGAGATTATATCTGATTTCACCTCAATTTTTTTTAATTTTTTCAAGGTTTTAAAGCGGGAAAATGTCCTTTTAATGCTGATTTTGCCCCATTTCCACCCCCCCTGCAGCAGATTTATTTTAACCAGGGGCTCAAACATCGGTCCCGGCGTCCCGGCACGAGTCCTTACGCAACAAAAGGGGATCAAACAAACCAAACCCAACTTATTCTTTAGATTCCCAGTTTGATTTGTTTTAAAATAAAGCTGGAACTGTTATTTTATTTTGCTTTTTTTTTTTTTGTGTGTGTGTGTGTGCTCAGGGAAGAGGCGCCACAAAGGCTCCACCACCTTTCAACAACACGCCCGAGTCGTGAGCGGGGACGAGGAAGAGCTTTTTCCAAGGCTTGGGATGGAGGGAGGGAAGGGAGGGGGGGAAAGGAAAGATCAGAGGGGGAAATTTGCATACAAGAGGCTCTTGTCCTTTGGAGATGTTGGAGGGAACAGGGAATTAAAACTTGTTGGCCGGGCCTTAAAGCTGAAGGAACCGTCCCCTTCTCCCCGAAAATCCGGAGAGCGGGGGCGTGTTCTGTTGACATGTGGTGGGGGAATAAAAAAAAAGAAAAGGGGGAGAAAAGATGAAAGGGCCCAATGGACAGGCCTTTGGAAACATGTTTATTTTCTATATTTTTAATTGTGCTTCTGAGGGCCTTTGGGCTGGGAAGGAGGTGGGATGAAGAAAGAGGAGTTTTGGGATGAAGGAAGGTTTGCCAACCTCACGCCCGGGGCGAGGGTCCCGCTCGGCTCAGCCAGCAGGGAGGGCAAAGGGATGGGCTGGGAAGGGAAAACGGGCGATTTTGGGAAAGAAACTCCTGGATAATGTGGAACTGGTGGTAAAGAATCTCCTCCATGCAAAGGAACTCAGGGCTCGGCCACGCAGAGCTTCTCGGTGGGAGTGGAAATGATGGAGCAGAGACTGGTTTGGGTTGGAAAGGAACTTCAGGATCATCTCATTCCACCCCCCTGCCATGGGCAGGGACACCTTCCACTAAAGCAGGTGGCTCCAATTCCCAAAAAGAAAGATATAGAGACAGAAAGTGAAGCTACAGACGTGGGAATATCCAATCCTGCATCATCAGCATCACATCCAGATCCCAAAAAAACCTGTCATTCCCAAGCCATCAGTGCAGGGAAGGGAAGCAGGAGGCTCACTGGGAACAAGGCAGCAAAGAGAAGTAATTTTTGGGGTGCTGTGAGCCCACTCAACCATCTCACTGCACTCTCTTTCCCACCCTTGCACCAAACACTCCATCCCAGCAGCTTTTCTGGATGAGCAGGGTTGGCTCTCCAGGAAGGAGGAAGATTTCCAAGCAAAGGATCAGGTTGGGTTCACCTGTGGGACCCTTCCCATGTTCATCTGCGATGTTCAACACAACCCACCTGAAGGCTGGGAGAGCTGGGGGGGTTCCCCTGGACAAGAGAAGGCTCCAGGGAGAGCTGAGAGCCCCTGGCAGGGCCTGAAGGGGCTCCAGGAGAGCTGGAGAGGGACTGGGGACAAGGCATGGAGGGACAGCACACAGGGAATGGCTTCACATGGACAAAGCACAGGGTTAGATGGGATACTGGGGAGGAATTCCTGGCTGGGAGGGTAGGGAGGTCCTGGAATGAATTTCCCAGAGAAGCTGTGGCTGCCCCTGGATCCCTGGAAGTGTCCAAGGCCAGGTTGGAGCAACCTGGGCTAGTGGAAGGTGTCCCTGCCCATGGCAGGGGGTGGAATTGGATAATCTTGAAGGTCCCTTCCCACCCAAACCATTCCAGGATTCCCTGCTCAGAGCTGAACCGAGGGCACAGAGCTGGGAACAGCCCTCACCAACATCCCTTTCACCTTTTATAACCCTTTATTTGACAACTGCAAACACAAGGCAGCACTTTTATCCCACCTATGCCGGTTTTATCCCGCCTTCCTGGCCCTTGATTTTCCATTTGGAGCCTCCCAGGCCTTCCAAACTCCCGAACCAGCTCCCAAACCCACACTTCAGCTGGTTTGTGGCCTCCTCAGGACACAGTTTTGCCTCGCCGGCGTCGAGAGCGATCGCCCTGCAGTTGTTAAAACACTTAAAAAACGCTTCTGGCTCCCAAATCCCTGACTGCAAAACTCCTGGAGATCACTGGAGCAGACAGGGAAGCACCAGCAGGCCCTCCCCGTTCCATCCTCCAGAGGAATCTGTCATCCCTTCACCATCAAAGCAGGCCCAGCTTTCCAGCGAATTCCGACTCGGGATCAAACAGCTTGGATTCGGGACGCCGAGCTGAACCCGATCCACGGAGAAATATTCCCGATAAAGGTTTATTGCCAAAAAAGCTGGAGTTCCCTCCCCTCCTCCTGCCCCCCGAGAAATTCTTTCAAAGCAACTTGCAGAGTTTGCACAGCTTCTGATCTTCTGTGAAAACTTTTTTAAGCCCACACACGCTCCCAAAAAAAAAAAAAAAAAAAAAAAAAAATCTGCCGGGCTGTCTCTGCAGAGCTCCCAGTTCCGAGCCATTAACGGCTGGAAAAATTCCCGAGAATTTCACGTTCCTAATTTGCAAATCCCTAATCGAGGAACGGCGTGACGGGGACGTGGAAGGTCAACCCGGGACCACAAGAAAGTTTGTGGGAAATAAAGCCAAGCCCCCCCCCCCCAAAAAAACGTGCTGGGATTTGAAGCAGGGTGTATAAATATAAGTGTAGGATAAGGAACAATATAATTATGACATAAATATATATGTTTTTTTAAGGAAAAAAACAGATCATTGTCTTACACACACACACACCACAGCCCTACAAAAACATTTCTATTATTCAAAATCTTTCCAAAATAGCCAAGTCTATCAACCAGTCTGTGATTCCAGGGAATTCTCTCTCTGGCTGGTTTAACACACTGCACCATTTCACGTGTCTAATATTTACAGATTTCGATCTTTAACTAATATTTCGATATTTGGACATACCTAAAAATTCAGACTTAGCACATCCCCTTCAGCAATGACTCGATTTTCTGAGCCAAAGCTGCAGCACCAACGTTCAAAAAACATAAATAAATCCTTGATTTTTGAGACCTGACCACGACCCGAGACCTTGGACCACCCCCACAACGGGACTCATTTCGCCTCTGACATCTCCCCTAATCTTTTTTATGGTTTTTTTTTTAATGCCTTTTCATTTGCAAGAACAAAGGATTTATTCATCTTGTCCAAAAAATTTCCCAGTCCACCAAACATCAGCTTCCCAAATCTCGTTCCTGAATCTCGCACCGGGCACGTTCCCGGAGCTGGGAGCAGGGGGAGACCTGTCAGCCTCTGTAAACAGCCAAACTCTCTCTGTTCTGCAAGAACTTTTGGGTTCAACAATTCCTGACATAAATTTAACCCACGGAAGGCAAGTTTTTCATGGAAATGTTCGACTGTGACGCCACCAACACCAGGTTGGCCCAGATTAAGGGATGCTCTTCTCTGGCTTTGGATAATTTGGGATACAAGGATGGGAATCTCTGAACCTTGATGGGTTTTGATGTGAAGACATGAAACAAGCAGAGAGAGATATGTTTGAAAAACCCTCCCGACTGAAACAGCAGCAGTTCCACAGAACCTGAATTCAGGAATTCAGGAACCACCTCATGGGCCTGGGGGTTGATGTCCAGGGATGAGCTGGGGCTGAGGAACATGGGACACATGACATGGAATTCCACCAAGGCTCAGCTCCAGCAGAGGACACGGAGCACAGTGGGAGGGGTGTGTTCATGGGACACACATTCCAAGAAGGATCTGTTCACCTTATGGGATAAAACTCTACTGCTGCCAGAAGTGTTGGTTCTGCATCTCCAGCTCTGGAGTCCTCAGGAATAAGACATGGACTTCTTGGATCAAGTCCAGAGGAGGCCCCGGAGCTGCTGCCAGGGCTGGAGCCCCTCTGCTCTGGAGCCAGGCTGGGAGAGCTGGGGGGTTCCCCTGGAGAAGAGAAGGCTCCAGGGAGAGCTGAGAGCCCCTGGCAGGGCCTAAAGGGGTTCCAGGAGAGCTGGAGAGGGACTGGGGACAAGGCATGGAGGGACAGCACACAGGGAATGGCTTCCCATTGGTTAGATGGGATATTGGGAAGGAATTGCTGGTTGTGAGGGTGGGGAGGCCCTGTCCCAGGTTGGGCAGAGAAGCTGTGGCTGCCTCTGGGTCCCTGGAAGTGTCCAAGGCCAGGTTGGAGCAACCCGGACTAGTGGAAGGTGTCCCTGTTGTAGATTTGCTCCATCCTGTGTGGTCTCAGTGTCCTTTGACTATCCCATGGCTTAACCTTGGGGAAAGAAATGACTGTATTCCTACAGTCAGAAGGGTTCCCAGGACACTGTAACCCTGGAATCGGCCAGAGGGTCCTGCCGACTCCGTGCTCTCACTCCGGCTCATGTGAGACTCAACAAGCTCTGTCTGGAACACAGAGGGTTTTCCCAGTGTCCAAGATGTCTCTTCCATAATTCCCAAAAAAAAGGTGGAGGCTGAAGGCACCTAAGGAAGACATTTCTCAGACAGAGCCAAGAGAGTTCTCCGGGGTCACTGTTCCAGCTCCCACAACTTTGTAAGGAATCTATTCCGCTCACTCAGAGGATTGCAACTTATTCCTAGAGCCAAGAATGCCTCACAAACAGGAGAAATTTTGGCCATGCCTCACACCTGCTGGTGTTCTGAGCACCAAACTCCTTCTCCAGGGGGAAAAACTGCCTGGAATTTGTTTGTTTGTCCCTCAAAGATGCCGAGAGGCCGTTTTTCCGAGGGGTGACGTCCTCCCTTAGAACTTCCCTACAAAGGAGCACCAGGGAGCCCAACTGGACCCAACCACTTCACAGGACACCTGTTTTGGGGACAAGAGGAAAAGAGGGACGATGCTGGTGGAGCTTGTCCTGCTGGACTCAACAGCAGCACAGACGAAAAGCCGCTGAGAAGGGGAAGAATCCGGCGGAGCTTTGTAGCCCTCTGGATGTCGTTTACTACAAAGGGAAGAGCTGGCACCGACTGGGCAGGCTGGGGAGCTGCTCACTGTGAAGTGCAAACCCTCCTGCAGCAACTGGACACTCATAAAACCCCAGTTTGAGGCTTCTCCCAGCTCGTTTTCCAGCTGTCCCCACTCCTGCGCTCCGGCTCCCTCCACCTCTGGGAGGCATCTGTGCTCCAGTGGGACGAGGCTGGACCGGGATGTCTCCAAACTGGACAGTGCTCATGGAGTTTGTGCTCTGGAGCTGCCAGAGCTCTCTTAAGCTGCTCCAAGGGACAGAATCGTCTCCACTGGAATTGACTGTAGGAGCCAAAACCCTTCTGGCTTGTTCTTCCCTTTCAAAGCTCTTCCTGGAAATTTTGCCGCGGAGATGAAGGGATTGCTCCACAGGGGTGAGGAATAACGGGATCACCAGAACAGTTCGCCCAGCCTAGGTGGAGAACTCCACACCAGAACCTCCTGAAGGGTTTCCTAGAGGTACAAATTTACATTTACCCCACTTTTTCCAGCCTGTGAACCAGGATCAGGAGCTCTCCTGCCTAAACTTAAATCAGGACCACCCAGGACCATCCTGTTTTCCATTCTGAGGTTTCCTTGGAAGCAGAGAAGTAGAAGCCTCAGCAATCTCTGGTGGGCAGAAGAACACAACCAAGGACACGTGTCCAGTGGGTGCAGCTGTGTCCCTCTACCCCACAAAGCACTCCAGAACACGGGGGGTTGTGCAGGAAATGAGATACCTGCACTCAGGACACTTCATATTAATAATTTTAAGCATTAAAGACCAACTTTGAAACCCAAATTCTGAATTAACAATATTCCTGCACAGATCAGGCAATCAGAAGGAGGAAGGGCTCCCACCAGAAGGTGAAAAGTGAGGAATGAATTCAGCAACCACGAAAAGTGAGAAGTTGTTTTTCTCCTTTCCTTAATAATGTGTCTTTACCTTGACACACAAGTTTTCTTGCTGTGGCCCCTCACATTGTGTCCCCAGATCTTCTGAGGAGGTGAAGGGTGAGCAACAACTGAGTGGGGGCTTAACCACAGACTGGGGTCAAACCACTACACACCCAACATTCCTTCAGATTTGGAATCACAGAATCCTTTAGGTTGGAAAAGCCCCCTGAGATCATCGAGTCCAACCATCCCCCAGGACTGCCACTGACCTGTGTCCCCAGGTACCACATCCACGGGGATTTTAATTCCCTCCAGGGATGGGGATCCACCACCTCCCTGGGCAGCTGTGCCAGGGCTGGACAGCCCTTTTGGTGAAGGAATCTTCCCATTATCCAACCTGATCCTCCCCTGGCACAGTTGGAGGCCGTTCCCTCTCCTCCTGTCCCTTGTTCCCTGGCAGCAGAGCCCGACCCCCCCCTGGCTCCCCTCTCTGATCAGGGAGTTGCAGAGCCAGAAGGTCCCCCCTGAGCCTCCTTTTCTCCAGGCTGAGCCCCCCCAGCTCCCTCAGCTGCTCCTGCTGCTCCAGCCCCTTCCCAGCTCCGTTCCCTTCCCTGCACACGCTCCAGCCCCTCCATGTCTTTCTTGTTGTGAGGGGCCCAAAACCTTACTGGCTCTGTTTCCATTTGAGAGATCCATTTGTACTAATAAATAAATAACCTCCTGTTCAAATAGGAAAAAACCCCAGGAGGCCGGAACATGGGGAACTCAGAACTCATCAGGGACCAAAACCCATCCTTTCTCCCACTGAGGCAAATCTGGGAGAAGGGGACACAGGGGTCTCCTCCCTGGGGGGCTCCAGGGAACACAGGGGGGTCCCAGGGCTGCACTTCATCACCACGGACAGCACCCACCCCTGCCAGGGCACTGGGACTGAACCCTCCTGCCATCCACCACCACAGGGGCCCCCTGACTGTGGGGTCACCCCATCCCACCAGCCTGGCTTGGATCACACCCAGGGATGGGACTGCACCTGCCTCGAGATGGGGTGGAATCCTGGAATGGGTTGGGCTGGAAGAGACCTTAAAGGTCATCCAGTCCCACCCCCTGCCATGGGCAGGGACACCTTCCACTAGACCAGGTTGCTCCAACCTGCCCTTGGACACTTCCAGGGATCCAGGGGCAGCCACAGCTTCTCTGACCAACCTGGGACAGGGTCTCTCCACCCTCCCAGCCAGAAATTTCTGCCCAATATCCCATTTAAATCTCCCGTTTTCCAGTGGGAAGCCATTCCCTGTGTCCTGTCCCTCCAGCCCTTGTCCCCAGTCCCTCTCCAGCTCTCCTGGAGCCCCTTCGGGCCCTGCCAGGGGCTCTCAGCTCTCCCTGGAGCCTTCTCTTCTCCAGGGGAACCCCCCCAGCTCTCCCAGCCTGGCTCCAGAGCAGAGGGGCTCCAGCCCTGGCAGCATCTCTGGGGCCTCCTCTGGACTCATTTCATTTTGCTGCAGGACTGAACAGCCCCCCAGATGGTTCCAGAGCAGTGAGAGGGCTCTGGGTTGACCCCACAATTTGGTCCCTGTGCAGTAAATTGTGATCTTACTCTGCTCTGGACCCACAGCAGTGATGAAGAGGAGGGAATCATTTGCAGGGAAAAGGCAGAACAAGAGCACAGAACCACTTGAACAAGCCTATTTTAAACTCCAGAAACTTTGTTTTTATCCCCTTCTCTGGCCAGTCATGGACTGTTCAAGTCCATGGTCAGGTTCAGGATAACAAACACCATCCCGTTCAGGTTCAGGTTGTAGCTGAAATTATCATTTTCTTGACATAAGAGGCTTCAGCAGGAGGAGGGAAAACACCCAGAGTGGCAGACACAACTTGCCAAAAGGTCCAGGGCAAGCCTGAATCCCAAGAAATCACGAGCACATCAAAAAGCTCCACACCCCATGTCCTGCACTCCAGGTTTGGATCTCCAAGCTGCCTTTCCTGCAACACAGGGCTCTGTTCCACGTCATCCATCACAAATCCAAGGTGTCCCCACTCTGCACCGTCCTCCAGCACAGGGAGCAAAGAGAGAAGAACCAACCCTACCACGAGGTTCTGGTTTGTGGTTCCCAAACCCAAGGCAGTTCCAGCTCTGAGGAATCAGCAGCAGAAAGGGAGGCAAAGGAGGGAGCACAGCAAGGAATTACAATTGCTTTGAAAACTTCCACCCTGACAATCCTTTTCAGCCCAAAGTACGTCTCTGCCACCCAGACAAAGTCTCAAAGAAAAGGTCAAGGATGTCTTGCACTAAGGAGTGATTTATCTTTCTAAGGAAGGATGGATCCAAACTGACTTTTCCATAAGCACCCAAGTGCAACCCTTGAGCTGGGGGACAGACATGGGATGTTCAGTTCTCAACCCTTGGCCTCTCTGCTGAGCCTGGGAACAAGATCAGGGATAAAAATGCAAAATAACCCAATTCTGAAACGCACAGCCTGTTCTGGATCTTTCTGAGTCCCTGCCCAGCAACCCTGAGAGAGGAGCAGACACCACCTGAGACATCACAACCACCCCCAGACACCACCTGAGACACCACAACCACCCCCAAACAGCACCTGAGACACCACAACCACCCCCAAACAGCACCTGAGACACCACAACCATCCCCAGACACCACCTGAGACACCACAACCACCCCCAAAGACACCACAACCACCCCCAAACAGCACCTGAGACACCACAACCACCCCCAAAGACACCACAACCATCCCCAAACATCCCCTGAGAAACCACAACCACCCCCAAACACCCCCTGAGCCACCACAACCACCCCCAAACATCACCTCAGACACCACAACCACCCCCAGACAGCACCTGAGAAACCACAACCACCCCCAGGCCCCTTGAGCTGCTGTTGCACAGTTACCTCTTCATCCTCATCCTCATCCTCAACATCCAGGATTCCCGAATCTTGCTCGGACATGGGGCTGGTGTTCTTCACCTCCAGGTCAGAGCTGGCACAGAATTCCTTCTTGGATTTCTTCCCCCCGCTTACCCTGGGATGCTGGGACACGATGCTGTCCAGGTTTCTTTGTTGCTGTGCCTAGGGAAAAAAAAAAAAAACAAAAAAACCACAACCCATTTCACCTTTTACCACGGTATCCTCACACTTAATTTTGCTTTTAGGGCAAAAAGATTCCTGCCCCGAAATAAAGACAAACGAGGAAAAAAACCCAACGCGCGCTTAACGGAATTCAGACCCTGAGCCAGATATTCCAGAGAAACAGAGGGCTCGTTTCAAAACCCTTTCCAGGGGATTATGCAACGATACAAACAATATTCTGCCTCTTCACAAATCCAAATGCCATATTGATCTATTTACAGCCCAGATGCAGGAATATTAGCCCACGGGCCATGTGGTGACTGTCACAGGCTGAATTAAAGGACCTACTTAACCGCTGGATTTGTTCCTCTTTTCAACCCGTGTCAGCACAAAACATTCCACATCTGGACCCCAGAGGTCCCTGAAAGCATTTTTGTGGTACCCCAGGAGAGTTTAATTGCAGTTGCTGATGTACAGAACGAGCTGTAAAAGGTACTGAGCGAAAAAGCCGCTCGCCGGGAGAAGCCCCGGGATCGCGGGAGCAACGCACGCGGAGTCGGAAGGGGGGGGGGGATATTCCAGGTTTTTTGGGGGGGTTTGGGGTTTTTGGGCGATGGGGGTCAATGTGTGTGACCTGCTGCGTGAAGTCACTTGGTTTCCTCATTGTTATCCAGCACAATATTGAGGGGAAAAGCGGTTCAGCCCCAATTGTTCAAGAGTTGACCAAGAAGTTCGAACCGAAGGGGAAGGACAAGGAGCGGGATCAGCACGGGGACACGAGTGGCACAAGGGCCAAAGCCTGGCCAAAATAAAAGGGAGAAGGCCAAGCCAACCAGGACAAAGTGGGTTTATGTCCTGGTGTAACCAGAAAACAAACACTCTGCAAACCTGGAATTTATACCCACAGATTTCGAGGATCCCTCCCGTATTTTTGTAGGAATTTTTGATGTATCAGAAGAAAGGTGTGCAGAAATCAGGGAGCGGTTTGGGTTGGAAGGGACCTGAAAGATCATCTCGTTCCAACCCCCTGCCCTGGGCAGGGACACCTTCCACTAGCCCAGGTTGCTCCTGGTCACTCTGGAATTCTGTGAGGTGGCAAAAGGGGACCATTCCCTGTCCCACAGCCCGGATTTTAAAGGAAGAAGGGAAACCACAAACCATATTGGAGATACGTTGTCAGCGACACCAACCACACAGGGAAACCAAAGGAGGATTAAAACAAACGGAACCTTTTCAAAATTCCCAATTACTTTTGCCACCTGAGCTGCAGAAAGGAGAAAGATCCATCTAATGTGCAAACCCCCCCAATTATTTCCTTTTAAACACTTAAAAAGTCTTAATATGACCCCAAAATAATTTATGAGCAGTCTCGAACTCCCTTTAGAATCCCTCCTGATCACCTGAGTAGTTCCTACATCTCAAGAATATTAAAATATTAAAAAGGACATCAAAACCCAAGCACGGGAGGTCTTATCCCTTGAAAATCCACCGCTGTGGGACGTGAACACGCAGTTGGTTTCATCTTAATTAACAAACATGGCAAATGACGACAAAATTCAATATATAAAGCCGACACTGGACGTGGCTGCACCAGGAACTGCACCAGGAACTGCACCAGGAATTGGAGCTAACCCTTAGCAGAGCTATCCCACAGCACAATCTTGACCTCTAGTGGTGGGAAAGCAGCAGGATCCTCGACGTTCCCTACAAGTGCTCCTACAAGACAAGCACCAGCTGAGCAAGGGGACTCCCAACCAGGCTTATTAAAAAGATCTCCGAAGGGATGAGCCTCAACAATGGGGATTTTTTGCAACAAAAAGCCCCGGGAAAAGGTCTGGGTGGACGCCGCCGAAGTTACAAAGTTTGCGACCGACGTCAGGACTCGAAGCAATTGGGGGGGAAGGGGGGGAAGTGGGTGTTTTGTGCATTGGAAACCTCCAACTTCAGAGGCACAGCTCTATAGAAAGCCATTGCAACACCCTATAAAGGGAATTAGGACTTCAAAAAAGGGGAGGGAGCCGTTTGGTCCCTCTGAAGCTCACACAACAAAGAGCCGGGGCTCGAGTCCACCCTCAGATACACCCATTTATGACATAAGTTTCCCAACTGAAGCGCAACGAGGTTGTAACTCTGAGCCCACTGTAAATTCCACCCGAAGCGAGCCCGGCGCGCTCATTAAAAAATCCCCCAATTTATGTAATCTTTCTTCTTCTTCTAGAAAGGGAAGAAATCAAAGAGTGGGAAAAACGCCGAAGTCTTGGATAAAACGCCGCGCTCGAAACGGATCATTAACCAGGGCGGAGCTGCAGAGGCGGCCATGGGAGAGGGAAAATTTGGGATAACGAGCTGAGCTCCACTGCCCAAGCCCTCAGCAACTCTCAGGCTGAATTTAGTGTCACCAGACGACCTCACAGAACCCCAGAACAGGCTGACTTGGAAGGGACCCACAAGGATCATCGAGTCCAACCTCAGGGATATTTTCTCCAAGGATAGGTTATCTTGGTCCCCATCTCTTTTCCAACAAGGAATGTCTTCCTTCAGCTTCATCTCTGCTCAGAGGAGGACAGCAGTACACTAAATATCTAGTGACCAGGTGGCAATGTCAGTAAGATCCAAAGCAAATCTTAAACGGGTTTAAATAATTCTGGTTATCTAGAAAACCCCAAAGTCAAGAAAATGTGTCTTCCCAGGCCAGGGAGCTCCATGTGAAATTCAAACACCACCTTTTGATTTTGCACTTTTAATGCGAATAAAACTGAGGTTTATCAAGAGAATTTTGACCAACTGGGAAAATCTAAGAATCCCAGAATGGTTTGGATTGAGAAGGGACCTTAAAGATCATCCTGTTCCAACCCCCTGCCATGGGCAGGGACACCTTCCACCATCCCAGGTTGCTCCAACCTGCCCTTGGACACTTCCAGGGATCCAGGGGCAGCCACAGCTTCTCTGCCCAACCTGGGCCAGGGTCTCTCCACCCTCTGAATGAAAGTAAAGGACAAAAATAGACGTCCCAACTCCCAGATATCCACAGGAAGCAGCCACAGGATGCTCCCAGTAGCACAAAAGCTTCTGCGCCCACCAGGAGCAATTTTTACCTTTAGGAACCTTTACCTTTAGGAAGTTGTGGGGAGGGAAAAGTTACAAATGAGAAGAGATTTTTCCAGGGATTTCTACCTTACAGGGCAACAGAAGTGACCCAGTGGATGTCTGCTCCCTTCCAGCACACCGGGAATGTCACATTCCATACCCCAGCTCGCGGAGCCGCCGCTCCGTCCTACGATGGGCACGGTCCTGAGGGGTTGGGGTGACCCACAACCAAGGTGTGATGCTGGAACAACCCAACCTCCGCTCCAGAAGAACCAGTAATTGCTTTTCCATTACCGGGAGGGCATTTTCCCTGCCCCCCACATTCCCGGCAGGAAACAATCTGGACTTGAAGTGACCTAAAAGTGAGAAATATCGAATTTTCTTTAAACTTCGGCGGCGTTGGGTGAAGTCACCGAGGTTTCAGTTTCACCCTGAGAGAAAGGCAGAGCTGGGGTGAGGCCCAGAGGAAGCAACCACGGAGAAATTGGGGTTTAACAGCCCAGGAACTCCCCTCTCCCCCCCTGTCCCAGCTCGTTCCCCACACCTTCCCGGCGCGTCGCACGTAAAAGGATGAAAAATGACCTGCAGAGGAGGCACATTTGGGGTTTTTAACGTCCTGTTTCACATCAAGGCATCTGTGGGGAGCCCAGTGAGGAGCCACGCTCGAGGGAAACCACATCAAAGCCCGGGTGACACTCCCGACGTGCCCTCTGGAAACGGAGGGACCTGGGGCTACGGGGAGGAGGCAAAAAGCCTTCGGGGGGATTAAAAAAAAAAATCAAATTTAAAAAAAAAAAACTCAAATAAAAAATCCCCCTTCCCTTTTGGTGTGGTTTACATGAAAGCAAGTGCATTCTTGTGTTATTCTGTCAAATGGCCTCCATCACTCAGGACTATCAATCTCTGGGCTCTGCTTAATGTGACGATAAAACAAAAGGTAAGAACATCCCCCCCCCCAAGTCTGTTCGTGGCTAATGTTCCACTGAGCAATGACACACTGAGTGTTTGGGTCAGGGAGCTCAAGTTCCCCCCCAGGCACAGCTACTTTCTTCATCCACAGCAGTCTGGCAGAGCAGGAACATCCCACACCACTCTGCCATGGGAGAAATCCCAGGCCCCGGCAGCAGCTCTGCTCCCAGACTAGTTGAGGGAAGAAGTAAAGGCAGCTTTTTACCTCCAGGGTCAAGTTTAGGTCAGTGACCGATTTTTGCAGCTGTAACCAGACCAAGGTTGGCCATTGGGAAGTCCTGGAGAGCTTCTAGGAGACCTTGGAGCAAACCAGTCCAGTGGAAGGTGTCCCTGCCCATGGCAGGGGGTGGGATGAGATGGGCTTTAAGGTCCCTTCCAACCCAAACCATCCAAGATTATGGAACTCACGTAACCTGTACATCACTCCACCAAGTGCTTTTGGGGTTTTCCCTTCAAGCCCGTCCTACAAGAGTCCTAAATACAAATTCCCAGAGAAGCTGTGGCTGCCCCTGGATCCCTGGAAGTGTCCAAGGCCAGGTTAGATGGGATTTGGGGCAACTTGGTCTAGTGGAAGGTGTCCCTGCCCATGGCAGCGGGTTTGGAATGAGATGGTCTTTAAGGTCCCTTCCAACCCAAACCATTCTGTGATTCTAAGCCCTCAACAGGAAGGATTTTCCTCAAGATTTCAGGACTCAATCCTGAAACAGTCGGAACAGCGACTCCCCCTTCCCCACCCACCACAACTCACCCGAGCCAACCCAACCAACCCAGCCCACAGACCCAACATTCTGCAGGAGGAACTAAAGGTGCTGCCTTAAAACACCGGTGACAAGTCACATTTGAATGTTTTGTGGGTGAATTTGTCACAGTCGGATTTTTCCAAGGACCTCAGTTGCCTGTGACCAAGGCCCCAAACCTGCCATCCCAACCACACCGGGAATGAC